CTGTTCTGAAAGTCAAAATATATACTAGAATAGTCAGAAACCATTAAATCCCCTTTTAGCTCTTAATACATTCCCTATATGTTTCCTATATATTGCAAAATATAGGGCATGTACTCGCTGCTCATGTTTACCTGTCAGCTGTATGATTCTTTCCTGGAAATGCTCTGACTTCTTAAACCTCTTTGAGACAAAAAAGTATCTAAATCATCTGGCTGACTTTGTGGAGTAAGCCAAATTTTATTGATTCTGTCTTTGCCCACATACATGCATCCGTGCACATGCTGTCTCGTGTATCTCCGTATATACCTGTGCCTGTGTATGTGCTTTTCTTTTTTAACAGGTAGCGTAACATAGCCACACATCTCAAGTCTGTATGCAGGCCTGGATGTGCGTGAGCTCGAAGTGTTACTGGAGGGTGCACGTTGACATTGTTTGACATGTGCTGAGATAGCTCCACTTCTGGGTATGACTCCACCAGCTATGCAGTGCCTGTAAAAATCCGACCTGAAAAGACAACCACAGGAACTGGCTTCTAGTAAAACAGTGCTGGCTGGTGAGAGGAAACGGGTCACCTTGTAATAGTCTACTGAAAATGGAGTCCATGAAAGAAAACATCTGCTGCTTTGTAAGCATTAGTGTCCTCACTGCTTTAATAGTGGTTTCGTGATTTCATATCCAGAAGTACAGATATGTTCAGATGCTTGTAACATTGGTGCTGTTTAAAGAAACATAGCACTGTTAGATTCGAGTTAACCACAAAGTTAAGTATTTTTGAGTGCATCTGCTGATGCAGCATCTGTGATTTATCTAGATGCAAGCAGATGCTACTTTGTAACCCGGGACAGGCAGTATGAAAGGCTTCACAGGCTATCTCCTCATCTCTGGGGCTTGCTTGGCCCCACAGTCTGAGAGTTAGATCAGAGCTGATGAAAGCCTGAACTCATCACTCTGCTTCCTTGTTTGAAGATGATCACATTTACACGTAGAGTGCAAACAAGCAATGGGTTTCAAGAGATAAAAGGTAGTTTTCAAGAGACTAAGCCTTTTCTGACTGCTAGAGTTAAAGTCAGTGTTTTGCTGTTTGTCTCTCCTTTAGAGGAAAGAGGTATTATACTGGAGTCGTTAGGGCAGATACAATGGTGCATGTTTGTTCTGCTACCCTGTGTACAACTGGTGAAACCAGCATGGGACTGTATGCTTAGCAGGGTGTTCCAGAGTGGCTGATGCTACTGGTTAAACCATTCATCCATCTTAGATCTGTAAGTCCCTGAGTGGTATTATATGGGACTGAAGGTAGTTTTAATTTTTCACTCTGAGGCAGAGAAGCAAGGCTGGTTAAGTAACATGCTTTTCCACTCGTTATGTTACAAAAAAGCAGCTTACCTACCATCCAGTGAAGAGTAAAGGACTGTTCTGTGAAGTCTAATGTTTTGTACACTGGATAGCCCACATTCAGTTTGCCTAATCTAAATTAATGTCCACCTTTAGAGTCTTCACCAGCTCAACAGTTGAAACAACTGTAAGTTTTGCATGGTAACTTGTTTCATATGGGATATATATTGCTCCCTGAAGGTGTCCAGTGTCTTTCCACCACCAACAGAGCTTTGATGTGCAGGTGAGGCTTAGTTTGTCTGAAACAAAGCTCTTGATTTAGTTATCTGGAATTATGTGATTGATCAGGGTAGCGTTGATACATCTGCCCACTAGTAATTTGTCTAATGCTGCTTATTGTAAGGTTGGTTTCAGTTGCCCTGTAATCTGTCTGATACATGCACAGCTTACATGCTTGGCATCTGTATCAAGGTGAGTACTTTTTTTGAAAAATGTAGTAATAGTGATCACAGTAAGCCAATATTAAGAGTGACAAGGCTATTCTGGGCATGTGAAGATTGTAACGTTTGCTTTGAAAAAATACATCAATTTGGGGGCTTTGAAATTTTATCTTCTGTTTTCAGGGTTTTGTGTCTGATTTTCTGAAATCTGAAAATTCACACAAGTTCAGTTATGTTCTAAATGCTTGGGGAAAAAACCCCACAGCTCTCACATGCATAGTGGAAGCTTTCTGAGGCTTCACAGTTATGATTTTCACATAAAGCAAATTCAAGTTTGAGGCAGAGTCTGTCCTTGCAACTTGTTGTTTCTAACGGTTTTACTCCTGTGGACTTGTCTGCTGTCAACAATTAAAAGTAGGCAGTAACTGAGAATCTGTGCTCCACTTTTGGCTGAAGAGAGTGGAGGTAGCTGTCAGAAAAAGAAAAAAAAAGTGGCAAACTAATCTAAGAAAATCCATTTTCCTGGTGCCTCACTCCCTTCTTATGCCTCAGAAGTGGAGGAGGAAGCCACTAGTACTGGAAAAAAAAACAGGGTAAGAGCTGAGTGTTGGAAGGAAAAAATCAGCAGGGTAATGCCAGAGGAGGGCCAGATAGGTTTTTTTTCTCTCTTAATTTTACACCCTCTGCTCCTTACATGCAGCTGATCTAGTCTCAGAAGCAAAATAATGATGCCAGTGTGATAAGGTTAGTAGCTCGGCTGTGGCGCTCCACTGTCACACCTGTACTAGGGGGCCTTGTGGCCACATGTCTAATGCCTAACAAACAGATGAGAAGCAGCAATATCTGACTGAACATCTTTGTTTTGCTTGGGTAATGTGTATTTGTGGGGATGAAGGTGTCTCATGCTTCATCTTGGAGAGAGCACAACGATAAATTTCAAGAGTTTTTCTGGGAGTGAAAAAAATTAACAAGACTGCAATGGATCCGTGTACATGGAACCCCATAAAAGTCAGTAGTGTAGTGACTGGCACTTGGTGCAGTTCTTGTGTCAGACTTCAGTTTATCTAATGGTAACAAGCAAAGAGATTTGTCAAACGATTTACCCTATTTTCCTGTCACTTAGGCACACAAACTTTCACTTTTAATCCTTTTTACGTTCTCTTCAGTTGTATTTGTTTGGGAAAAGTACAGAAATGGGATTAGCTTTGTTTTGGTGCCCTCTTGTGGTTTCATGTATTGGCCGAGTTACACTTTGAAGAACCTTACTACTATCACGGGGAATAGTAAGTATTGTTACTGCTCAGGGTGTATTCAGACAGCTTACACCATCTCATATAATTCGTTGTTTGCTTTGAACTGGTATGTTGGACTTTTTATCCAGAGACCCTTAGCTACCTCTGTGTAACTGAACCCGTTTGTGTTCATCCTGTCGTGTGTTGGTTTTACGTCATTGTCAGAGCGTTGCAGAGCAAAGAGCTGGGCACTTGGGGAACATTTATGTTATGTTTGAAATGACTGGCTTATCTTTGCATTCCCCTGCCTTGTCTGCACACTGTTTAAGAATGGCCAAAGTTTGAGATGCAAGGTGAAAGGAGAAGATTTGAGATAAACCAGAAACGCCCACATATTTAGACTTTGCCTAGGAAAAGTATATTCTTGTGTGTGTCAATATGTGATAATCTCTATCCTATCACCATCAGTTCATTATCACTTACTAGTTTGTTTTTTGTACTTAATTACCTACGAACTTTTTCTCCATGATTTTGTATTGTGTTTACAATATCATTTGTGTGTGCATTAGACTCACATGCGCTGTATTTTGAAGGGATCATTTGGCAGTTGAGCTTATTGTGTCAATCTTGACACACTTTTGTTTTCTTGAGTGCTTGGTGTTTCAAAAGTTTCACCCAGTGAAGTTCTCACTTAGGTGAAAAAAAGAAAAAGGTCCTGGGTGACTTGAGCTGAGCCATGCCGGTTTGCAGCCACTGCTGTCCAGTTTTAATATTTCTCCTCTTGAGTTCAATTTCATTCATTATGTGAATTGTTTTTTGTTGTTTTTTTCTGAGGAAAAAGCCCAAGTGATGAACTGTTTTAGAGATCTGTAAAGGGGGGGGGGGATGATTTAGTTATTGGATTTTGAAGCAAATTTCTGTCAAGTACAAAGGGTTGGTGTTACTTGTCTCAACAGAGTTGTGAAAAATAACCCTAATAGCTTTCTGTTGAATAAGTGACTGGTTTAAGTCATCTTTATTGCTTATGTCATGTTTTAAAAAGAAACACACAGTTGTTTGGGAATTGGAAGCTGCATGTGCCTGGTGTGTAGTGGGTAGCATCCAGTTTGGGTCTTAAATATTTTGCTTCCCAAATGCATTATGTTCCCTTAAAGCAAGCAGCAGTCCTGTGGGGTGGAGGGTACAGCTGAAGCTGCTCAGGGAAGGGTTTGAGGGCAGAGGCTGTGGGGCTGGGCAGCCTTGCTTCCCAGCTGCGGGAAGAGGCTTGGTGGGGACCATGAGCAGTTGAGCTGAGTGTGCTGCAACTCCCTGGCTGGCCCCAATCTTACCTTGGGAACCAGGATCCCCTCCCTAAGGACTTGCTTGGGCAGGGGGGCTCAGGGAACAAACATTCCCACTTTCTCTCTGATAGTTGCTTTGAAATTTTGTTTTATTTAAAAATGGAATCAGTGTTTCAGATACCAAATGTCAGATTTTGTTTATCTGGGGCCTTTTGGAGTTTGGTTAAGAAAGACAGTGTGGGTAGAGTCTGTTAAACTCTGGGTAGAGCCTGTTAAGCTCTGGCTTAGTCGGGATTTCTTTTTGCAGTTCATTAGAATTTGGAACAGCAAAAAGGCAAATATTTGAAACATGTTGGGAGGGGGCTGTGTGGTGTGATTCAGCTGTAGTAGCCCTTACATTGGGAAAGAACAAGGAATGCTGTTTTCCCGAGGTCTAGGAAACAGCAAGTCTTAAAGGTAGCTAAAGCTAATGTTATTGCACGATTTCATTTGATAATGTCCAGCCCAAAAAACTTAATATCTGAAGAGAAATAAACTGTTCAACATGAAGCAGGATCACTCAGAAGTTACTAGCTGTGTTTTAAGATAATCCAATACCAATGACATTTCTGTGTGTACAGATAATTTGTAACAGCATAATTATCTGTCCTCCCTCTAGGTTCGTGCTAGACTATTATACATTACTTTTTTTTTTTTTTTTTTTTTTTTATTTACAGCTTCCTTATTGTGCTCGTATGCCTTATCTTCAGTGTGCTTTCTACAATTGAACAGTATGCAGCTCTTGCTACAGGGACGTTATTTTGGATGGTATGTATGTGGATGTTAATGTGATTGATGCATGTTTGTTCTTAATGTGCAAATTCTGATCTCTTGAGCTAATATCACGTTGAGCAGAATGTTCCTTATGGTTTAATTGACAAGAGGCTTTTCTGATTTTCCCTAATGAGTTTGTAAGGCCACAGAAACACCAAAAGTCATGGTAGCACAAACCCCAAGTCTTACCCTATATGGCCTATACAGAGGGCATCTGTGTTGTGTCCAACACACATGGCTTCTAATTAAGCTCGAATCCCTCATATTGCTCACGTTAATCCATTTTTCAGCCATACTGAAGACCAGACACCTGACCATAGGTGGGAAAAAAGTAAGTGGAAGTCTTGTCTTTTAGTTGATGTCAGATCCAGCTTCCTTTCACAAATTTAAAACTCTTGTATTTTCATTGACTTTAGAGTTAAGACAACTTGCTCCACCTGTCTTAGACACTTTCCCTTCTGTAGAGTAAATGTTGTTTCCTTTTGTTTATAGTACACTAGTGCTGCAACAGGTATGTATCAGGAAGTGTTCCAAGAGTACTACTGTCCCACCAGATTAGGTTTCATTGAAGAGCCTTAGTTTTGGAGAGTCATGATTTTATACTTACCTCAGTGGTGGGGTACCCAGTGCTAAATCATTGATTGCTCTGTATTTGTAAATAAATTACCATTATTTTACATGTGAAAGCACTGTCACTGTATTGAGAAAATGCTGACTAGTAATTTAAATGTTTGTTCAAAATAGTTCTTACAGCAGTGTACCAGTAGTATCAGTTATGTGTGGTATCATTATTAACATGGAAAAGTTTACTTAAAACTCCTATCAATTGTAATACATTTTGTCAATATCTATTCAATACACTAAGGTTTCATACTTAATATAAATACTGTAAGAAAAAGAATATAGTATATTAAGTTTAGTGTCAATCTCTCTATTTCTATTTAAGGTATCTTCATGTCTGGTACATTGTTTTTAACTAACTTGTAAGATATTTGAACTCCTAGGTGCAACATTATAATTAGTTGCCAGCTAAGTGAGTCTATACATGTTTTTCTGCATCCAGTACTTTTTCTGGTTTGTGGTTTCCTTTTTGTACAGGTTTGTTTATGTTTTGGATACTTCTCCCAATTTCTGTGATGTATTTCAGTTGTGATATCTCACTCAGCTTTGCAATATATTGTAATTTTTTGACATATGTGTTGTTTCAATGAAATAACTTCTAGTGACAACCAGTGATGTTCCATTTTTTTTCCCCTCGCATGAAATCATGGAACTCACTTTGTGTGTTCATACTGTATGCAGCATGTATTGTCTGTATGTGTGCAATACATTCCATGTAATATGTATGCAATGTGTTCAGGATTACATACAAAGTATGTCATATCCAGAATGTATTGGGTGTTCATACTTCTCTGTATTATCTCGCTTTCTAAATAGTGTGAATCAGTGTTCCTGTTCTATATCATGAGAAAAACTGTGGTTAATTTTTCACATTCAAATCCTACTGGCATGGTTTCTTGGGAATTCAGTAGTTGTTTGTTCAGTATTAGCATATTCTGATATTGTTTCTTGAAAATTACTACAGTTAATCTTTTAAGAAATTTAAGGGGATTACGATGATCCGTTGGTCTGAAGTAGTAGATGGGCCAATGTGCTTCCTGCTCTATCCAGTTTTGGTGGGACTTTCAGAGGAATTGTGGCACCTTGCAATACAAATATAAATGTCAGAATCTAGTTTCTGTTAGTGTCTACTCAGTAAAATTTCCTATTTTGTTCTTATTTTAGGATTTTACTTTCTAATATATCATTATAATCTGTCAAAATTAGGTGTAACTGAATTCTTAAGGAGGGAGTTAATCAGAGAGGAGTGGTTGAAGAGAAATTGTAAAATGCAAAGAAAGAAGTAAAAGTGTAACAGTGTACAGGATTAAGAAATGAAACAGGGAAGAAACACAGTGCAAGCTTCCAACCCAAATGGTGATGTGAGGAGGCTTATTAAACCTTAGGAGAGCACCCTTTCTGCTGCTTTGCAGTAGGAATTAATTTCTCTTTTGTGTTTGTAGAGGGACTTTTAGTTATACCACAATAATAGCTTTAATTTGGAGTAGAACAATGAAGATAGGTAAGGTGGTTGTAGGTGAGCAAACAAGGACAAACAAGTTAATTTACAAGCTAGTACTGAGTGAGAGACACCTCAAAGGAGCAGCAGTGTAGCAACAACATACCAGGAGGAGCATGGGAATGTTGAAGGCAGCTTTTCTGCTTGGGCTTAGCAGAAACAGTGAGAAGGAGGGAACCTTCAGCCATGTGGAATTTGAGGTTTATGAGACTTCAAATCATTCCATGAAACTTGAGTTATACTGCCCAAGTGTGTGCTCTGTGACATTAAAATAATTAACACTTAGAAACATTTAAGTCTTTCTTCTGAAGATTATAAAATTGAGTCCACCTTTCCCTGTCTGCATTCCAAAGGGAAATTACTGAAGCTTTGTCAGGAACAGATTGCCTTTTATTTAGAGAGAATTACCTGTGTAGGGTAGAATTCTCTCTAAATGAATTATGCATTGTAGTTCATCAAATGTAAGGCTGAGATAGTGGTGCCAAATGTGCAGTGGCATGCTTTGAAATATTGCCTACCTGAGATTTGTGGACTTCTTGTATTCTGGGGGCAGGAGGCTTTGACCAGGCAGTCCTAGGTGTGGAAATGCCAGAAATGACTATAGCATGCTGAATGGCTGGAAATGAGTGCTCCGAGTTAGCATGTGGGTGTGCTGAGCTGAACAGCCCCATGGAGCAAGTCTGATTAGGTGAGCGTAGTGCATGGGCACTGTAAATCTGATTCGTCTTGAACATGAGTTGGAATACCAGTAAAAGCACATGTGTCTGTTATCTGCAAACTACTGTGGTTACAGAATCCCTTCCACGGCCCACTTGTGGGTTGCATGGCATTGAAGAGGCACGTTGGGAAAAGTACAGAATCTGTTCCTCCTGACCGAAAAACTATTCAAACAAGACCCTTGAAAACACAATTAAGAGCTATATTACTATATTTCCTCCATGTAGCCAAAGTATTTTGCCCTGATCCTGTGAAAGCCCTAAGCACCTACACAACTTCAGCGTGTCATTTTAAAACCAGGGAGACTGTTAAAGTTACAGATGGAAGCTGAGTGTGCTCTTTTTCATGAACAAGAATTTAGTGCTTCAATAATACAGCCATACAAGATATTAAAATTATATGAAAATAAGAGCTAGAAAGGTTGTTGAGTTTATATGTATCTATTTCCTTTTTATTCTGGAGGTACTTGTCTCATAATGTCCCTTCCAACTAACAGAGGAGGAAATAGAAGGTGTTATCTGTAATTTTAAAGCATTTAAAAATGCTTCTGTTTTCCATAACAATAAGAAAAATGCAAGTTTAACATTGGAAAAATAAACAAGGGAAAGTTCATATGTGTTCCAAGTGGTGTTCCAATTTTAGACAAAAAGCTTACAATTAGCTGTTGAATCTTTCTCTACTTGTCACCACACTTCTCAAGGCAAAGAGCCCTGATGAAAGCTATACCTAAATGCAGTTGTAATGGGAGATTAGGAGAGAATTGGCCTTTTGTTAGTTTTCAGAATGCAGTGAAAACTGTTTAAATTTGCATGTGTTTATTTTATCTTTTTTTCACTAGATGGTGCTGTTGGAGGGGGTTTGACTCCACTCGTTGGCACTTGCCCAGCATGAGCTGGAGTCAGAGCCAAGACTGTGAAAGGATCATCATTTTGAAGGGTATATGTACACTTGGCCCATTTAAAATAGTGGTGCGGGAGAGCTTTTGCCATGACTCATGAAAAGAATGTGGTATATCTGTGTAAAAATTGATTTTGAGACTACAATATTTAAAGTATGGAAAGAAGTAATTCAGAGATGTATGTTCCCAGAGAGGCCATATTTTTCTTTTATTTTCATAAGCAAGGATTTTATGGTGCCAGAACACAGCAGAATGCTGTTATCTCAGCATGATCTAAGAAAATCCAAGTGCCTGATCCAAGGGGATTAAATATTCTGCTGAACCAAGGGATATTTAGTGTGCCTGAAAAAGCTATTTTCTGGTAGGAATCTCATTTCAATATTGATTCCAAAAAAAAAAAAAAAAAAAAGGAAGGGTTTGTTTTTATGATGAAAGTATAAGTTCTTTCCAGCTTTCTGTTTTCTGGGTTCCTTTTCTACTTTAGCATACTTCTAACTAAAGTGATTAAAAAAAAATTTAAACATTAAAAATACTATCAATTAAGATTAAAAGGTAATAGTTTTGGGTAGTTAACATTTATGTTATTGGCGTTAAATTATTTAAGAGAAAGTGGCACTGAGTTTGGGCCTATGAGAAATCTAGATTTATTTTGGTTTTTTTAATATAATCTTTTGTTTTGAGAATAAGCCTTGGGTTTTGTTTGCTGGAATCTTTTGTGGGTCTTGTGAGGAAGAAAGAGAAGAATACCTACAGCTTTTGATTCTGAAGATGGCCTTTTTGAACCATTTTTTCTCTGTATAGTTCAAAGGTTCAGCTTTTTTTTTTTTTTTTTTTTCTGATTGTCTTCCTTGGTTAAGAAGGCCAAGACACAGACTTAGGACATGGACATTGGTGTGTTTTCATTCTTTTGAAAAATTAAATGGGATTAATGTCTGTGATAGCTCTACAGACTGATTTAGTCTACAGACACTCTCTAAAGAACAGCTGTAGCTGAGAAAGTGGAAAAAAAATCTGTCTTTGCAACCTCAGCAATGTCCCCTGGTCTGACCCAGAGGGAGATCAGCTGATGTAGAAGATGTGTGGTGGACTCGCGCTCTTTACTCCGTTTCCTTTTCTGGACCTGCAGATAGAGCAGTCCAGGGAATCACTCCCGGCAGCATTTCCTTTCTGTCATTCCTCCAATAACTGCAGTTGAGACCCCAGCTTTCATTTCAAGTCAGCTTCTTTACATTTACTGCATTGTAGTAAAAAGGCCAAATG